ATACCATATAGCCCAGTCTTATTTTGAACTTCATTGTTTCTAACTAAATGAAATTTTTAACATTTGATTTTTTTTGCAATGAAATTGGGACCGTACAAATGACATAATACAATTATTATTAATAATATTGACCACAACCACTATCACTGCGTTTTATTTGTTGACTGATTTAATAAATCCAAGTTTGCGTTCCCAAGTTATATAATTTAAAGAAAGCGTGTTACGTAAAGAAAAAAATATTATTCCAATTTAGTATTCTGATTGTTTATTATCTTTTGTGCTTGTCAAATCGGCAATATGGCTTTAACAAGTTTCCATGTCTAATGTTTTGCCGGGCACAGTGAAGCTGTTTTATTATTCATTAATTCTTTGAAGAAGCACCTCCAATTGGAAGGTAAAAAAAAACAATAAACCGGGCATACAGACACACACACACACCCTTAAAAAACACACTTTTGTACAATATCTCATTTTAATTAATTATTAATGCAAAGATCGAACACTGAAAAAAATTTCGTTCCATCCGGATGTATGCGAACCAGCGCCTTCAGCATACCGTGCCTGATCCAGCAAGATCGTGTTGATGTTTGTATTAATAGTTATAATAAACTAGTGTAGTAATTTCACAAAAAATACAATTGAATATCATTGTAGTAAAACTTCGTAATATTTAATGAACTTAGAATTTAGTATACTGTGTTCTCATTATTATTGATTTTAGTAGCAGGAGAGCTTCTTATGAGAGTTCATCCAGGGAAGTACTGCCTCCTTACCTATTTCTGCCCCCAAGCAGTAATATGAGCATTACTGCGTTCCGGTTTTAAAGGTTAAGAGTGCTGGTGAAGTTACAGGCACATGGGACTTGTCAACTTACGTCGCAAGATGACAGGCGCAGTGGCAGTGCCCCTCATATCTTTGCGATTTAAAGCTCTGAGTGGCACTGCAACTGTTATGGACAGGCGTGTAGCTTACGATCAGGCGCACGACTTGTTAATCCCGTCACTTGATATTGTAAAAAAATGTAATATAATTTATTAGACTTTCCCGTCATAATCTTTATTTTGGTATTAGACCAGTTTTATGCAACGTTGAATAAATAATTATTACACAACATCACATATGTTGCTCTGATTCCAAAGTAAGTAACTAAAGCACTTTTCTTATGGAAATCGGAAACAACGACCCAGACCCGGGAAAATATAGAAAAGTTAGTTTTTCTACTGGCCGGGGATTGAACCAGGGACCTCAGAAATGACGATGCCATAGAAATCGGTGTGCTAGCCACTCGACCACGGTCATCATAAAACTGGATTATAATCTGTAAAACTTTGAAATTGTAATATACCCAATATTACAAATTGGAAATTAAACTGTTTTATTCGGGTCTAAATTGCTTATATTTGTTTTTTTTTTACTTACAAAGCCGCTCAGAGTTTCCAATCGAAAAGTCGCACTGCCACTGCGCCCGTTACCCAGAGACATAAGTTGACAAACCCTATATGCCTGTAATTTCTCAAGCACCCATCAAAACCGGAACGCAGTAATGCTCACATTACTGCTTGGCAGCAGAACTTCCCTGGACGAACTCTTTCGCAAAGAGTTCTACTGCTACAATATATCGGTGTTTTTCAGAAAAGGTGAAATCGCCATTTTGGAAAATAATTCAGGCGAACAGTTTTAGAATTATTTTTAATATGTAAAATTCTATTTTGGTTTAAATGAAGTTTATGTTTTCAAATTGTATTTAAAACAGGATGTAAATATTTTAAACAAGTCGTGAAAATCCAGTGTTTTATTAAGCTGGTGAAAGACTAAAAACGCTGCTTTCGCACCACGTGGTTGTTAGTATTTTACAAAGAACAATGTATAACTCTAGTTTCCACGAATAAACGTGTTATGAATCAATTCCAGTATACGTAGATGTGTGTAGACGACATTAGAGCGGTTCAAAGCTAGCGATTAAACACTTGTGTGGCGCGGCGCGATTTGCAAGCGGTTTTACCCCGACGAGTGTCGCAATATGCTTCCTGAAAGGAATTCAGCGCCTGGAGCCAGCGCGCGGCTATATCTCTTATATTTTACATGCCTTAGGTTTATTTGTATTGTGTTCAGGGTAATGCCCTCGTAGGTTGTTTCACGGATACAAGTCACGTGTAAACATCTAGTATATAACCAGAAATAGAGACGAAATGTCATTTAATTTGTTTGAAAACTATTCTGCCAAATCATTACGGTTACAACACCGATTGGTGAATTGTTTCACTTCAAATCAACCAGTTTAACGACAATTGCAAAATTACATATTTAATTACTGATGAAATGTGATTCTGTTTGTTTTCTAATTAGATGTTTTGCTGTTTTCCCACACCACCGAATGGAACAGCCCCCCATAATTAGAGATATTTATTATCTTTATTACAATAAATACAGAATATTTTTGGAATATACGGAGACGTATACACAGGTCAGTTGTTGGCGCTGTACTTTCAGCTTTTTAATTTGTGATTTCAGTGCAAACAGTGATACAAGGCCCATTAGCCTGATGAGTTGCCAGGGATGGACGGCCCTTATTTCGTCTCTATTTCTGGTTATATACTCGATGCGTGGAAAGAACAATGGCGAACTCGCCTGTAAAAATTCTGTTGACATAATTTTGAAGAAAAATATGTGAAAATATACAATTTCATGTGGTTTGTGGTAGATTTACTGTTCTGAGAAGTCTGGAATTAATGATATTACAGTTAGAAATTTTGTAGGTTATAGATTCAGATTCATTTATTTCTCAAATATAGCATTACAATGTAAATTGCACTACATGTCAAAGTATAAGAAATTATATTGAGATCATTAGACAAAAATGAAAATTATAAGAAAAATACACAATTTAGAAAATTAACAATTCATTATATAATATTGTTGTCATTAAATTACATCTCAAATATCATTCTCCATCAAGGATCGTCATAAGTTGATAAAAATTATACAAGGGCATGTCAATGCGGTAAAAATTAGAATAGAAATAAATTCATTCATTACGAAATAGAAAAAATTCATTTACAGAGTAAAAAAGATTTTTTCAAGAAAAGGTCTTGAAGCCGGCGCCTAAATGTTTCGTCAGATGTTTCAAGTCTGAGAGTCGTATTCTAGAACTCTACTCAATGCTCAAGTCAGGACTTGAGTATGATTCAAAGCACTAGAAATCATACTCAAGTCATTAGGGTCGTATTTCCAGTTCTTGAAATCATACTCAAGTCTGCTCAAATCCTGACTTGAGCATTGAGTACAGTTCTGGAATACGACCCTGAGAGTAGCGGGTAAACGCTCATAGTAAGCAGGTCCGATGACACGCGGGTTTTTTCTGCAAGTGCCTTGCAGCGGGGGTTGGGAGACTGTTCTCAAATGACCGGTACGGCGAAGTGGAATGCCAGAAACATTTACAGTACCAAATGAAGAAATATTATTTCTAACGTACATTATAATTTCGTATATGTAGAGTGAGTAGATCATCATTATGCGTTGCGCTACAAAGAGTAGCTAACCAATATGCGTACGGCACGTTTTTGCATTAGCATGACTCTATTGGCATCCGTGGAGTTACCCCATATGAGTTAACCGTACGACATCAGTGAGTGGAAATGTGCAAAATAGATATATTTTACATAATTGAATAAAATATATTTGGTGTGTCATTATTGTCGAAATTAACTACAGAAGCCTTAAACAGAGTTAATAGAAGCTGGAAGGCACCGTGGGTTTGTGACGGAACGAATGTTCAGAGTTCTTTTCTGTTTTTAACCGACTTTAAAAAAAGGAAGAGGTTCTCAATTTGTCTGAATTTTTTTGTGTATGTTACTTGATTACTCACATTTAAGAACCGTTTTCGATGATTTTTTTTTGTTGTAAAGCGAGTACCTCAATAGTGGCCCCATTGAAATAAGAAGAAAATATTCCACCTTTAAGTGTAGCAAATTAGGGGATGAGCCTGGTTTATTGAATTACACCTACTTTCCGTTAACCGATTCCACAAACTTTTGGGTTTTTCGTAGTAAGACAACTTATTTTTTTTTTATACAGCACGGTCTTTTTTTTTATTAATAACTTTTAATTCTCCACAAACATAATAGTTATATTAGTATCAAAATATAACATACTCAGTCACATTATGTATTTAAGAGACTGGTACCTAAACTAAGCAGAGGCTTGTAATATAGGAAACCAGGTCATTAACTTCTTCAATAAAACATTGGAGAAGTTAATGATCATAAATACAAATTCATTTTAAATTTTTATTGAATTGATATTCAATTATTTTTTTGTGAAATTATTCCACTAGTTTGTTATAATTATTAATACGAAGATCCGACACTCAGAAATAATTCCTTCGATCCGGCCGAATTCGAACCGACGTCTTCCAGCTTATCGTGTCAGACGCTATACCAACTAAGCCACGGAACGAACCAGCGGACGGATATTTGGTTTTTCAACGACTTTTTAGTCGTAGCTCCATCTATACATCGGTTCGAAGCCGGCTGGATAGAAGGAATTTTTTCAGAGTGTTCGATCTTTGTATTAATTTCATTCTTAGTTTAAAGTAAGTCGGTACAGCTCGGTTTCCATTCGGGCGTGCGTGCGTGCGTGTATATGAATAAAAGTGTACACTACAAGTTACACTTTTATTACTAGTAGCTCGTTGTAACTACGTTTTATCAAATATTTTGTTAATACCTCCGTCCCTCCCGATCTTTTTGGCCAACCCAATTATAGATTGCGTTATTATTACCAACCGTGGTATAAAGCCTTCCCCATTTAAAAATTATTGTTTTACACCAGGGGAAAGACTAAAATTTTTAGATTTCACCTACTTTCCGTTATCAGATTTCAATAAAACTTACCAAATAGATATAATTCTATAAACTTTAGTTTACAACTTACTTAAGTTATACAACTTTACGTTTTACAATTATTAGAATTTTAAATGAACCTTTCATCCATTGTTACAGATCGCTCACAATCGTTCGGACCTTACCGAACCGGCTACGTAGCCCACGGCTCCCAACAGAACTTCAACCAGGGCTACAATCAGGGCTACAGCCAGAACCAAAGCAACCATCAAAGCTACAGCCAGAGTCCTCAAGGCTATCAGGGCCAATCACGAAGCGGATACAACCAGTCAGGCCCCGAAAGATTCGGACAAAATAGAAACCAGAATCAGAGCTACGGCTATCAGCAGAACAGACGTGGCGGATACAGCGGTCAAAGTCAAGGATACAACAATCAAAATCAAGGACATTCTCAAGGCTATAATTCCAATAGACAAGGTCACCAAGGGCAAGGCGTTAACCATAATCGTCAAGGATATTATAGTCCGGGACAAAATCCCAGATACCAAAGTGGTCAGAGCAATCAGAGATCCACGTGGCGTTGAATAGTTTAACGGAGCACATGTTAAATGAAAAAAAAATGCTAGGGGAGGTTTTGGGATGGATAAGCATAACGCTTATGAGAGCCAATGTGGCCGGATAAATACTTAAAATAATAAATAATTGTAAGACGTGTTCGTTGCCGAACAAAATAATAAAAAAACGCAAATGTAATGTTCAAGAATATCAACCGTGATTAAGCCATTGCTTTTAACGTAACAAAAACTAGTTTTTACAAAAATGTTCAGTTTACGGAACTTTGTGCGTACAGTATCATAATACCAACTAATTACCAGATCGATACCTCTAATGGACACTACGCCAACTTAATTTTGGATCATTTTCTGATTTTAATATAAACAGCCTTATTTTGTTTACTAATATTATGCTCCCCGAATTTTGAAAAATATAAAGAAACAAAAAAAAACAATATTCGAACAAAAAAAACGAATTTCGTGAAAAAAGAAGCAAAATAAAAATAGAGATGATCAAATAATTAAGTTGGCGTAGTGTCCATTAGAGGTATCGAGATATCGAATACAGAAGATCATGTAAACTATAAGTAATACAGATTGAGTGGATACTACCTCTATTTGAAATTCGGAATTTTTGTATTTCTGTTGCATATGTCTCGGGTTCGAATTTATTAAGATATTTGTTTTTTTTGATGATTTGCTGCTTTTCAAGAATAGCAAAATATTTGACATTTGTCAAATATAATTTGGTACTTGTCTTTATAATATCTTTCTTTCGTTATCTTTATTGCAAAACACAGAAAAATAGTACAGAGATGTTCTTAGCTCCCAAACTAGGATGCCCTGTATTATGGATAGCTAGGTCTTACGTCCTTGTGTTGCCTATAAATAACAAGTCTTTTAAAATAACTAGGTATATTACAATAATATAACACGTGACACTTTAGAATGGGAAAAAAATTATTGTGCAAAAAACACAGAGGTTTTTATTGGTTAAAATTAACGCGTGACAACACGAACCTGGCCTTTGACTTCTCTGCTTTGCAGGCTAAATTTGCTTCAATTGTTTGTAAACAAAGATAGGTTGATTTTGTGATACGCCGCTTTTCTAGAAAACCATCAAATTGTTTAATAATTATCCTTGTTGATTCATATTTTTTGACTAAAAAAATCAAAGAAAGTGAGAAAACTAAAAACCACTTCTTGCCCTTGGACCACCTAGCTGGTTCACCTGGATGGACCACGTGCAATTATTTCTTCTCGTAGTTCACCTTTTACGTATAAAATAGATACTCAAAATTTATATTGGTGGTGGTCCATCTCAAACATTAACAGTTTGATGCTGGCCAAAAACGATGAAAAATCTTTGAGAAAAGAATTTGGTTTGTGACTTTTTAATATTGGGCTTTTGACACGTTTGGGTACGTCTCTGCATAAACATATGACATGATATGGTTAGCAGTAGCATTTTGTTCCAATAAATTTTTTATTTACACTTCGAATTCTGATATTACTAACACTTACTTTACTGCGGTAGTGTATTTAAAAGAAACAGTTTTGTAATTGTAAGTAAAACGAACCGTTTTGTTTTTTTTTTGTGCGTTTATTTTTTTGCCTATCCGTGATTTCTATGGAGGTATTATCCTATATATCACTTGAAGTTTTGTTATACGATTTTTAGTCCATAGAAAAAACTTTTAACAATTGTTACAGACACGAAGTTAGTTAATTACTGCGACGCTTTTATTGGTAAATTTAAATAATGTATGAAGGTCGGTGTAGACAAAATACTTTATGTATTCCAAAACATATTTTTATACACAAAAATTCTTCACCTTTATGTTAAATAATAGGTTTATGGCGTAGCGCACAGTGGAGGCGTGTATAATATATATTTATCTCCCACTGGAGTAGGCAGAGACTATGGACCCTCACCAACGCTCCCGCCAACTTCCTTCGCCTCCTCCACTCCGATCAGCTTCTTTGTCCATATATTCGTGATAATTTTAACCCGGCCGTTTTTAATTAAAAAGTCGTTTATGCAGTGTTTTTTTTAATGGAACAGTATGGGGAAACTGTCTTAGGAACCATTACGTCTTTTTCTGTGAAAACAATTTTGGCATAGTGAATTTTTTGGTCAAGCGTGAGTATTCCATGAAAATGAATAAAGTAGATCTAATTTTTTTTAGTGCTGATCGACTCAGTTTCATAAAGGGATCATTTCATTGTATGAAACGAAAAAATCCGGACAGTAAAAGTTGGTCAAAAATGTAAAATTTTTTTTCGTACTAAATGAATAAAATTGACTATTTTTTTAATGCTGATTGCTGATAGATCTTTATTATTAGTATCTTATAAGGATGACTTCATTGTATCTGAAGATTGAAAAATTGGGACAGTACAAGTTGGTCATTAAATGTCTTAAAATTAAAATTAAATGTCTAAAAGATGATGATGCCAAAATTGTTTTCACAAAAGAATGGTTACTAAGAGTCGTATTCTAGAACTCTACTCAATATTCAAGTCAGGACTTGATTGCAGTGAGCACTCATACTCAAGCCCTTGCCATTAGGGTCGTATTTCCAGTGCTTGAAATCATACTCAAGTCTGCTCAAGTCAGGATGAAGCATGAAGAATAAAGCACGATCGTCGTCGATGAAGGATAAAGCACTCGAAATCATACTCAAGTCCCTGCCATTAGGGTCGTATTTCCAGTGCTTGTGTTTCCAGTGCAATCCTGACTTGAGCATTGAGTAGAGTTCTAGAATACGATCGACGAGAAGACTGTTTTCTTGTATCTTTTATATTGTGGCGTATTACTCCATACTGTCCTATTAAAAAAACACTGTATATGCAATTTCAATTATTTACGCTTTACAAGATCATGAAACAGTGTACTTATAACATTGAATTTTCCATTAGTACAATAATAAGTATAATTGTACGATAATACACTATATACAATACAAAACAGAAAATACTTATGTTCAAATTTACGAAGTTATATGTGTTATGAAATTAACAATTTATTCAGATGTTTCAAACATATGAAGTTCAGATTTATGACGCTGGTGTTAAATAAATGTTTTAAGCAAAATAGATGGCATTATAAAACAGAACTCTTTTATTTGTAGCATCCCTATTTTCATACTTCGGTTCATCGCGAACTAAGCTAACCGAGATAACTTTTTTCGTGGGTAATCCTACGATGCCGGACGTGGTAGTTGTGCCGACTTCTACCAGCTATAACCACACGGTGGCATTCTCGGGTGCTCTAATGGAAAGGATCCGAAACCGACTATGCGCACTGGAACCCTCCCAGCACCTAGGAGGAGCTACGTCCTCCACATCCTCACGACGAAGCGGGCCAAACCGCCCCGTCGTCCACCTCGCGGCTGCCTAACTTACTGGCGAACGGAGCCACCGCTTCGATCGGCCCTCTTCCGATCACGCTCGGCGATCTCCTGAAGCTTTACAAGAGGAGACCACGACACTAACCCAACGATCGCGCTAGCTATGTAATTTCTTAGTTTGGCTTTGCATGTAACTACGTGAGTTCAGCTAAGTTAGCTAGCTTAGTTCGAGGTGTGGCCTGCGCTTTTTAGAATACAATACAGTCCAATACTGCCTCTCAGGCAGTGGCCGTGGGTTTCTCGAAATTTATGTGCAAAATTCTATTTGAAATTTCTTCTTAACGTGAAATTTCTTCTCCACTACTGGAGGTTGGCCGTTAATATGATAAATGTTGCGTCCGTTGCGTAACCATGATTTTTTACGTCTTTCAGCGTATCTCTTGCCTTCAACCTTTCCCATCATCATTGAAGCAGTCGGTATCTATTGTGTAGAAGCACGTGACCGAGACATGTGATTATGCGCTTCCTGGTGGTCCGCATCAGCTGGCGTGAGATGTTAATGCGGCATCCATCTTATAAGAAGCATGCGGCGGTAGCACCACATCTCGAATGCATTTAGACGCGCGCGCCGTCTGGTTGCTTCTTTAATGGTCCATGCCTCGCTGCCGTACATAACGATGTACCATGAGCTTTTCGGAAAAGGAAAACATCTTGATGAAACCTGCTCGTCGAAAAACCCTCAGAAAACGCGTGACGTCCTCAACCCGCAGTGGGACGTATGAAGGGGTTGATGATGATTACGAGGTGTGGCAGAAAGGTAAGGAGACTGGCAACCTCACGTCCTTGATTAGAGCACCTGTATCAGTATCCTCCCATATCTCTGTGCGAGTTTCAACTCCTTCCGATAACTACGTCATTTTTGTGATTGCTGTAGGCGAATTTGCTTTTTGGTTGTGCATCACGCAAAATGGAATAGCGGAATTTGAAGCAACGTTATCGTATATTATGGGTTTGTGTTTTCTTGATAAATAAATGTAAGGTCTGCTGGTTCGTTCCGTAGCTCAGTTGGGAGAGCGTCTAGCAGGGATTTCTCGAACGCGCTGGTTCGAATTCAGCCGGATCTAAGCATTTTCTTTTAATGTTCGATCTTTGAATTAATAATCAAAATAGATAGAAAGAAACATTTGTTCGGCTATTACAAATAAAATATACCTACGAAGAATCTAAATGAAATTAAAAACAAAAATAAATAAACGTAATTATAACTTTTTTAAAACGAAAACCGATCTCAAAAGTTCATAGAAAAATTGAAAGAAGAATTGTCACAGTATGACCACCACAACGTAGTTTTACATAATTAAAATAATCTCGCAAATCTACACATTTTTAGCTCCTTGTCATCAAGGTTTCCCTGCAAAAACTTTGTCGACTTACAAAAAGTTTTACCATGTTTTTATGTTACAACCGATTAGAAAACGATATTTGATAACCCAGAAACAAAAATCGTGATACATGGTGTAATGTAATGTATGATATTTTCGTCAGTTCATATAGTTTTTTATTATTGAAATATAGAGTATACATCTGTAACCATTTTTTGCAAAAACAAAAATTAATATTAACATTAAAGCAACTGGCTGGTAAACGTTTTCCAATATGGCGGACAAAGAGTTTTGAAGTGGCATTTGTTCGCGATCAATAGTTTTTTTAATTTATTTTTCGAAGGCTCGGATGAAAGGAAATTAGGGCCTGCTGGAGGCCACTCGAGCCGTGAATGGGCGCTGCGGCGATTTTTAAGGGCTTTTTGTCCAGGTAAGCAGTGTAATGATGTGTTAATAATTCCCAACAACTTCCGACCGTTTATTTTGATGAACATAACTGTTATTTTATGTATGTAACTTCTATGCACAGAGACTTTCGATGTAAAATTTGAAACTCCATGTTAAACTCGTGAGTTTTTCTCGTAAG